AACAAGTGTATGAGTAATAATGCTACACGGCGGCACTTTCAAATCAGTGAAAATGGCCTAAACAGCTATGTAATGCTTACTTCAGATGACATTAAAACCAACCAACCACCAAACATCTAAACAAAACAATGACCGAAGCAAATATAGCAAAAATAGCTAGTGAAATTGCCACAGCCAATAAAATTAAACTAAATAATAACTCATCACAATCGATAGAAAATGATCAACCTACGAACTCGATGCAATCCCGTAAGATTAATGAGCTTGAAGACAGCATAAAACATCTTACAGAAAAGATCAAGTCATTAGAAAAGTGTTGCGAATCTCTGCTAAGAGAAAATGAAAAGCTTAAAGCTGAAAAAAATATACCAATTTCTGTTAAAAGAAAACCAGTACTAGTGCAACAATTATAAACGCAGTACATAAGAACGTTGCGAGTAACAGTAATTCACCCTAAAACGGTAAACGTGGGCGTTCTAGTCCTATAAATGCACAGCGAAAAAATAAACAGAAAAAGCTTGACAGCTACTGGCTGCAACACCTAACCGTTTTGAGGTTCTCGACAACCCTGACGCTGATAATCAAGGAGAAACATCAGTATTTGTAGCGGGTATTGGTAATATTCAACCATTACGGGCACTGCTAAATGATGTGGCTCCAAATGAGTTTGTACTCAAAATTTTAGGTAATAATGAAGTCAAAATACAGCCCAACACAGCGGATGTCTACTCAAAAGTTACCAAAGCTCTTGCAGAAAAGCAGACGGAATTTCATACTTACAAGCTAAAGCAAGATAGAAGCTTTAATGTAGTGTTGAGGGGCCTACATCCATCAATACCTCTTGATGAAATCAAACAAGGCTTAATTAATTTAAGCCATGAAGTAATCAATATCAGTAACATTTGACATCGTGTTACAAAAAAACCACTTCCTTTGTTTTTCGTTGGACTAAAGCCCTCAGACAAGGTGAAAACAATAAACAACTATACTGACTTGCTGCACACAAATATTTCCATCAAAGCACATAAAAAGAAGTGCGAATTGCCGCAATGCACTCAGTGTCAACGCTATGGTCATACAAAACATTTTTGTAATCATATGCCGCGCTGTGTTAAATGCCCTGAAAACCATTTATCCTCAGATTGTCCTCGCAAATCCCCGGCAATGATGTATGGTGTGTTCTTTGTGAAGGTAATCACCCGGCTAACTATAAAGGGTGCACAGTCTACAAAGAACTCCAGAAAAAAGCGTTCCCAGCCCAACGTAGAAAAATAACAACTGATACAGAAAGGCAACAGAACACCAAATTGAATGTAACAAGCCAAACTTATGCAAATGTTGTTAAATCTAGCAATATAAACACTCAGGAGTACGTAAACTCAGCTCAGCAAAACGATTTTCCTGAGTTTAAATCAATGCTCAAAACGGTTATGGAACAAATGAGCTCTATGCTCAACCTCCTAACTGCATTTGTCGCTAATACATCCAAATAATGGGTAGTCAAAAGATAGCTATTTGGAAAGCTAACGGGTGGCACAGCAATAATCATAAAAATTAATATTGACCACTCATTTCTCACCAATCACAATGAAGATTATCTTCAATCAACAGCTATATCAGTACGAGATATACCGTATATGGTGAAATAACTATTGCCTCTATATACTGTCACCAATTCGCAAATTATTTCAAAACGCTCGGGCCCAATTTCGTAGCAGCAGGTGACTTTAACGCCAACCATACTCATTGGGGCTCAAGATTAATAACACCCAGAGGACGAGAGCTATTAAAAACGATACAAGAAACCAACCTATTTCACCTATCTACTGACGAACCCACTTACTGGCCGACAGATCTAAATAAAACACCAGATGTCATTGACTTTTGCATTTGTAAGAACGTACCCATAAATAATCTAACCTTGCGGTCGTCGTTAAATCTTTCGTCTGACCACTCCTCTCTTCTGTTAGAAATTCATTCGAATATCGTCCTAAAAACTCCAGAACTAAGACTTCACAACAAAAGAACTGATTGGGCTATTTTCCGTAGTTACATTAGCGAGCACCTCTCGACACATATTCTAAAAACTAATCATGACATTGAAGCCGCACTAGAACAATTCAACAAAATTGTACAAAAGGCAGCTTGGTCTGCAACTCCGTCTACACAGAATTGTAGGACTGTACATCTAGACAAGGATATCAAAGAACAACTACTTGAAAAACGTAATTTACGTAGAGTCTGGCAGATGACGAGAGATCCTAACGATAAGAGGCGCCTGAATGTAGCCACCAAAAAACTCAAAGTAAATCTAGAGGCAAGAAAAAATGCAAGCATTGCAACTTACTTAGCAAGCTTGTCTCCCTCCGAGGCCACTGAGTACTCCTTGTGGAAAGCCACACGCATACTTAATGGACCTACATCACATATACCACCAAAGATGAGTAATGGGCAATGGGCTAAAACTGATGCTGATAAAGCGAAAACTTTTGCAGTGCACCTTGGTAAAGTCTTTCAGCTACGCTGCTTTAAAAATAATCTGAAAGACTCTGAAGTTGAAGCTTTTCTTCACACTCCGCATCAATTAGACTTTCCTATTCCTAGGTCTTTGACTCGTGAATTAAAGTTGGTCATAAAAAACAAAATTAAAACCAGAAAAGCTCCAGGATATGACCTGATTACCGGAAAGGTGCTACTCGAGCTACCAGATGTGGGTTTTAAATTCATAAAACAATTATTCAATGCAATTTGTACCTGTGAACACTACCCAGCTCAATGGAAAGTCGTCCAAATCATATTAATTCCAAAGCCCGGTAAGCCCGTCGAACTTGCAACATCTTACAGCCGATCAGCTTACTTCCTGTGTTGTCAAAAGTATTTAAGAGAGTATTCCTAAAACGTCTAAAGCCAATTATCGAAAATAGATATCTGATTCCCAACCACCAATTCGGGTTTCGAGAGCATCACTCTACTATTGAACAAGTAAATAGAGTACACAACTTTGCAAGACTTACATTGGAAAATAAAGAATACTGCACAGCAGCTTTTATCGACATAACATAAGCATTCGATAAAGTATGGCTCACTGGACTTCTCTACAAATTAAAGTTACAACTCCCGCATAGCTACTTCTCTGTCTTAAAATCATACATACTAGATCGGCACTTTATGGTTAAAATGAATAGCTGTCACACTGAACTTTTTCAAATAGAGGCTGGAGTTCCCCAAGGAAGTGTGTTGGGTCCTACTCTATATACTCTGTTCACCGCAGATCTCACACTCAGTGCTAAAACATACACTGCAACATTTGCGGATGATACTGTAGTGATGACGAAACACGCAGATCCTGTAGTAGCTTCACAACTTTTGCAATGTAATCTGAACGATGTTAACGCATGGCTAGATATTTGGCACATTGAAGCTAACGATAACAAATCAGTTCAAACTACTTTTACACTCCGCCACGGTACCTGTCCTTCCGTTAGACTGAATGGCCGTGAATTGCCGCAAGCTGAAAACGCCAAATATCTAGGTGTACATTTTGATCGTCGTCTAAATTGGCGTCACCACATCTTTACAAAACGGAAGCAGTTAGGACTAAAGCTACGCTCACTTTACTGGCTATTAATCCCAAATCCAAATTATCGCTACAAAAGAAAATACTTTTATACAAGGTCGTCTTATAGCCAATCTGGACGTACGGTATACCCATCTGGGGTATAGCAGCGAAGTCAAATCTAGATATGATTCAGAGGTTTCAATCAAAAATATTACGTATCTGTGCCGTGGCCCCATAATTTATTCCGAATAACATCCTACATTATGATCTTGGCATCTCTACAGTGTACGAGTCAATACAGCAGATAAGCAGCAACTATCACTCACGACTGGTAGTTCACCATAACCCCCTTGCCGCAGGCCTAACGAGGGATACTTTTAACATTCGTAGATTAATACGCTTCGCAACTTCTGATTTGCCGAGTAGATTCTAGAAATTGTAATTCTTTATAAGACGGCGATTACCACTGGGTAGTCCCGTACATGTCAATCATATATTGTTATTGCCATAAGTAGTACTTATTATTCATGAATAGAATAGATTGTATATAATAAAATGAAGTTTAAAAAAAAAAACAAAAAAAAAAAAATATTTTCAAGGGCGAAGTTCCTGTCAAGGTTCAATTACACATCTTTACAGACGCATCAGAAAAGGCATATGATGCTGCAGCGTATTTGCAATCAACATTTTAGAATGGTTAAATTATTGTGCGACTATCATGCGCCAAATCTCGGGTTGCACCTCTGAAAAAGTTGACATTACCTCGTCTCGAACTCTGTGCAGCTGTAGTTGGTGCGGAGCTAGCAACAAGAATGAAGAACGATCTACAAATAAGGAATTACCAGACGTTCTTTTGGTGTGATTCACAAATAGTGATATCATGGATCAACTCTTCATCATCAAAGTTTCACACTTTCGTTTCAAACAGAGTAAGCAACATTTATCAATTAACGCCCACAAGTCAGTGGCGACATGTCAGTACGGAGCACAATCCAACTGATATTTTTTTCAGAGGCTTTGCACCCCATAAACTATAGTCATCAAGTATGTGGTTTTATGGACCCATGTTCTTACATGGTCGGCAAGAATTGTGGCCTTCAAAACTATCATCAGTGTTAAAATCCGAAACCTTCACTAATCCTGAACGGAAGAAGGAAACTCCAGTATCTACACTGGCTGTTGTTGAATGTACAGCAAATCCTGGAGAATTCATATACGCAATACGATACAATAACTCATTTGGAAGACTTCAACGGATATTATCATATATACTAAGATTCGCAAAAAGAACCAGAAGAATACAATGTGATCATTCAAGCAATTTTTTGACTCTAGATGATTTCGATGCAGCACATCAGGTCATCATCAAAAGTATTCAATACGCAGAATTTAAAAATGAAATCAAAATTATGAAATCAGATGGAAGAATAAATAAGTCCAGTGCATTGGCATCATTGGCACCTTGTATTGATAATACGGACTGTTGCCGAAAATTGCGAATAATTTAAAAACCTTTGTCTGGCAATCATGACAAACAGCTGACTTGGAGACTTCGAAATTTTTAGTAACATTTCCGTTTTTCATTTTCTCTTTTCTTGTTTGTGATTGCTAGACAAAGGTAAGTAAATTTTAGTTTAATTTTTCAATCGTAATATTTTACTGTAATCATTAATTATGTTACAGATTTTTTAAGCGCAAAATAAAGATTGCTATTTAAAATTGTCAAAGGTGCATTTATATACTTATTTTTACAACAAGAAATTCTTAAAAAATCTTTCTAATATGGAAAATGATAATGACGTGGAGCTGCCTCTTCAAAAAGGTTTAACATCAGCAGCCATACTTGAAGTTGGAGATGCAGATGGTGATGATAAAATCTCACACAAACACAATGAGGATGATGGTCAACATAGTAGACAACAGCAGCAGCCCAGCGCCAACATTACTCGAATAAAACAACTTAAGTTGCAACAGCTAGAAGAGTCGTTGCAGATTAGGGAGAGCTATTTGCGGGAAAAATTTAAAATCCTCACTGCAGATAGTGACGACGAGGGTATCGTGGAATCACATTTACCTGAAGTTGGGCCTCAGCTGAATGCACATCAAGCCGTAGCTGATGAACACTTTTCGCCACATGGCCAACCTCATCTACAGAGTACACCAAGGTTAGTAAATAATCCATCTCTTTATACCTTACAGATCGCTCCCACGCTTACGTCGTCTCAGCTAGCAGCGCGTCAATGCATACCGAGAGATTTGCCTACGTTCCGCGGCGATCCAGAAGAATGGCACATTTTTATAAGTGCGTACGAGCAAACTAAGCAAATCGCAGGTTTCTCCGATTATGAATGTCTAATGCGCTTACAGAGGTGCCTCATTGGTAAAGCGCGCGATGTAGTACGCAATATGTTGGTGTTGCCTAATATGGTTGGAGAAATAATAAACACTCTTCGTATGTATTTTGGACGACCAGAAATTATTCTAAATAAGTTAATTGAGAAAATGCGTCAGTTACCGCCTCCAAGGGGTAGGCTGGGCGATTTAATTGACTTTGCAGTCAACATTAATAATGTAGTTGCAACAATTGAGGCATGTAAGCTGAATAGTTATTTTAATAATCCACTCTTATTACATGAGTTAATAAGTAAATTAACTGAAGATATGAAGCTCAAATGGGCACTACATTCAGCATCAATAGCCGAACCTACACTTCGCGATTTTTCAGCGTGGCTCTCATCTTTAGCAAATGCGGCAAGTAGAGTAGCTACACCTTCTTTTTTAGATAAACCACTAAAAAAGGAAGGACGAGTGCACGTACATCAGACAGCTGAAATGACAACCACGGCAGTTAGGTGTTACATTTGTGGCGGCGGACATAAAATAATGGAATGTGAAATATTCAAGAACGAGCCTACTAATCAACGCTGGCGCATTGTCAAGGAAAAGAAGCTGTGCTGACAATGCTTAGGCGAGCATAGGCGTCGCTGTTTCAATAATAAAGTGTGTGGCATTGATGGCTGCAATGCACGACACCACCCCATGCTGCATTCTCGGATAGACCAATCTACGCCAGCATTATCTTTTACAGCTAACAATGTTTCATCGGATGTAGTAGAACAAATAAGTTTAAGTCCATACTCAAACAAAGCGTTACTCAACAACCATAATTCATCAGTGAATAAAAACTGTTCATATTGCCGAATTCTTCCAGTTACTTTATATGGCACCAGAAGGACTATTAACACATATGCATTGATGGACGATGGGTCAAGACTAACGCTTATTGAAGCAAGTCTAGCCGATGAATTGGGAAACGATGGTATCCAGGATGCGCTATGCATTAATTGGACAGGTAATATCAGTCGACAGGAAAATAACTCAAAAAGGCTCAACTTACAAATTTCTGCCAATGCTCCTCAAGCTAAAAAATTTCCATTGAAAAATGTCCGCACAGTAAGCAACTTACGCATGTCAGCAGAATCTTTTGCAGCTGATAAAATAAAACAATGGTATCCGCATTTAGATGGCTTGCCTCTAGCAAGTTATACAAATGCTGTCCCCATGCTGATTATCGGCGTAAATAATCCAAACTTAATTTCAGCACTTAAGGTGAGGGAGGGTGGCTGGCAAGAACCCGTGGCGGTGAAAACACGTCTTGGTTGGACAGTTTTTGGTGGTGGTGAATTAAACCACCGTAACAACTTAAACCTACACAAATGTAGCTGTGGACAAGAAGCTGATAGGGAGCTTCATGAGTTAGTGAAGACATTTATAGTAAACGAGAATGTCGCGGTGGCTACCCCAAAAGCAGAATTACTTTCAGTTGAGGATCAGCGAGCAGAGGAAATAATGCGCAAGTGCCAGTTACGCGGAAACCGCTACGTTTTCAATTTGCCATGGAACACCGATACGGTCGAATTGCCAAATAGCTTGCCGATGGCATTACGTCGAGCGGAGTGCTTACGTCGAAAAATGCATGGGGACCCTGAATTGTGTCAAAAGCTAAAGGAACAAATCACTACTTTAGTCAGCAAGGGCTACGCAACTGAGTTGCCACCAGAAGCAATTAACGAGCGAGGTGGAAAGATTTGGTATTTACCAATTTTTATTGTGCGCAATCTACTTAAACCGAAAAAGCATAGATTAGTTTGGGATGCTGCAGCCAAAGCTGAAGGAGTGTCATTAAACGATTTTTTGCTGAAGGGTCCGGATATGCTGCGACCACTTATAAACATATTATTAAATTTTCGTATAGGAAGAATAGCTGTCTGTGGTGATATTGCTGAAATGTTTCATCGAATTCTAGTACAAGAAGCAGATACTGATGCTCAGAGATTTCTATGGTTCAGCGAGACATTTAAAAATATTTGCGTTTATAAATTAAATGTAGTTAGCTTTGGTGCGCGATGTTCACCATATATAGCGCATTTTATTCGAAACCTGAACGCAGAAAGATTTATAGCTGAAAATCCTAGAGCAGTGTACGCTATTAAAAACAATCATTACGTGGATGACTTTATAGATTCAACAAATTCCATTGAACAAGCAATAGCATTAGCCGAGGCAGTTCGCAACATACATGAACGAGGTGGTTTCCATATGAGAAGTTGGACAAGTAATGCACCAGAAGTTTTAGCTGCGTTAAACGAAAATGGTGAACAGACGGGTAAGTCGTTTGATAATAATATCGACACACTTCCGATCGAAAAAATTCTCGGCATGTATTGGGACCCGAAGTCAGATTGCTTTAAATTGTTTTAAAATTCGTTCGTTTACGTCGTAATGTTTTTGCAGATGAAATTGTACCCACTAAAAGAGAAGTACTTCAAATTTTAATGTCCATTTTTGATCCATTGGGACTGGCAGCTTGCCTCACATCATATTTAAAAATACTTATTCAGGATATTTGGAGAAGCGGAATCGACTGGGATCAACCACTGGTACCCGATCTTATGGGCAAGTGGTTAGCTTGGGTTGCCTGCATGCCTATTTTTGCTAATATTTCTGTACCCCGTTGTTATTCACCATACATAACAGAAAGTTCATGTGATGTACAAATTCATACATTCGTAGATGCGAGTGAGTTTGCTTATGCAGCTGTATCATACTTCCGCATTAAAGATAAATATGGAGTAAGTACGAGGATCGTAGCAGCAAAAACCAAAGTCGCTCCAATGCGACCAATGTCTATTCCAAGAATGGAGCTACAAGCTGCTGTAATTGGCACACGACTTATGAATACAATATGTAAAGTACACACATTTGATATTAAAAAGCGTTTCATTTGGAGCGATTCCAAAACGGTGCTAAAGTGGTTGCGTGGTGATCCACGTCAATTTCAACAATTCGTAATGTTTCGCATTGCAGAAATTCAAGAAGCATCAACCGTCGAAGAGTGGAGATGGGTACCCACGAAATTAAATACTGCAGACAGTGCAACGAAAACAAAACAAAGTCCCGAATATGTGCAGCGTTGGGTCGAAGGACCAGAATTTTTGCTACAAGACGAGGATAAATGGCCAACTGAGGTGGACTTAGGTCTGATGGAGACCAGTGAAACTCGTGCAAAATTTTTATATCATCGCGAGACACAACCATGTTTCAATTATGAATATTTTTCATCCTGGATCAAGTTGTATCGTGCCGTTGCAAATTGGCTACTCTACATTGGGAAACTAAAGGCTCGTTGTGGCGGTTTCAATGCTACAAACGTTATTTTGACTGTTCAACATATTGAGCGCGCGAAGCTCTTAATATACAAAAGCGTGCAACAGGAACTACTTGAAGATTGGTCGACACTGAAAATGGGGAGAATAATAGAAAGGAACAGACCGTTATATAGGTTGCAGGTGTATATGGATAACAATGAGCTCATAAGAGTAAAAAACAGAGCGAGTAACTTTACGAATGAGTGTAAACCTCAAACTGATTTTATTTTCTTACCGCCAAAACATAGAGTATCGTACCTTATATGTGCGCACTATCATGAACGATTTTATCACATCCAACATGAAACTGCTTTAAATGAGGTCAGACAATTGTATTTCATACCAAAATTGAGACCATTATTCAAATCGATGCGACGAAACTGCAACGTATGTAAAATTTCATCGGCAATACCTCAAGCGCCGCAAATGGCCTTACTTCCCCCAGCACGACTAGCAGCTTTTCAACGTCCATTTACTCATGTGGGTATTGATTATTTTGGACCAATGGTGGTTATTGAGAATCGCAAAGCACTGAAAAGGTGGGGTGTTATAATAACTTGTTTGACTATCAGAGCCGTTCACATCGAAATCGCCCATAGTCTTAGTACTGACTCATGCCTAATGTGTTTAAGAAATTTCATTGCCAGACGAGGAGAACCTATCACCATCTACAGCGATAATGCAACGAATTTTCACGGTGTCGAGAACGTTTTAAGAAAGGAGTTAAAGAACATTGATTCCTCGGTTATGCAACACAAGCTAGCTCATCAAGGAATAGACTGGAAATTTAATCCACCGGCAGCACCACATATGGGAGGAGCGTGGGAGCGACTGATAAGAACAATTAAGACAGTGCTGTATCAAATTTCGCCATCTCAACGTTTTACGGATGAAAGTTTACGTACTGCATTACTTGAAGTTGAAATGATCATCAACTCGCGTCCTTTAACCTACGTGTCACTCGATAGTGAAGATGAGGATCCAATAACTCCAAACCATTTCTTGTTGGGGAGCGCTAATGGTTTGAAACCATTTTGTGATGCTAAGAGAATCGATCCAAAGATGTGCCTGCTACAATCTGAGATGTTTGCAAATCAATTTTGGCGACGATGGGTGCGTGAGATACTTCCGACATTAACGCGTCGCGGCAAATGGTTCAATAAAGTGAAACCCATTACGGTAGGAGACGTTGTGCTGATAGTTGATGAAACGGCTAAGAGAAATACTTGGGTAAAAGGCATAGTTATCGAGACAACTGTAGCGAAAGACGGCCAAGTAAGACGAGCTAAGGTCAAAACAACAAAAGGCTTTTTGGAGCGCCCTGCCGTCAAGCTGGCCATTCTGGATATCGGCAAAGTTGACGCAAACGACATTGGGGTCGCCTGCGGGGAGGAGAATGTTGCCGAAAATTGCGAATAATTTAAAAACCTTTGTCTGGCAATCATGACAAACAGCTGATTTGGAGACTTCGAAATTTTTAGTAACATTTCCGTTTTTCATTTTCTCTCTTTTCTTGTTTGTGATTGCTAGACAAAGGTAAGTAAATTTTAGTTTAATTTTTCAATCGTAATATTTTACTGTAATCATTAATTATGTTACAGATTTTTTAAGCGCAAAATAAAGAGTGCTATTTAAAATTGTCAAAGGTGCATTTATATACTTATTTTTTACAACACTCATGTTGTAGTATTTGCATAAAAATGGCATAAAGCTTTCAAAATAGCTCAAAATAAATGTTGAAAATTATATTAAATCTATCATATGAAAAAAATACACGACCAATATTCAATTTTTTTTTTTTTTTGTTAGATAAACGACCTAAGCCCAGTAACAAATAAGAACACTAGAAATATTATGTGAAATAAACTCTTTGTCGCCTATACTCTGCTTTTCAAGTAGCAATTAGCTATATTTATAACATGACAGCATTGAATATTCAAAGATTTTGGCAATTTGTTAAATTCAACTTAAGTAACGCTTACAATTCTATTAGATGACTGTGTGCCCTAGACTATAAACAATTTTCCTATTCCGAAACGCGGTTTAAGAAAGTATTTAGTTTCTTCTTAACATGTTGGGTTAATATGGAAGCAACACACCAAGGCCAGAAAGGACCCAAAATTTTAGGTCTGTTTAAAAACTAAATTAATTACTTTATTTACGAAATTCGGATTTGGAGACTGTGAACCGCTTCTGTATAGTTAAACTACAGCGTTCCCAATCTGTTAGACTAATTCCCTACGTGTCATGTTATATATGTAATAAAAATAAATGCACCAAAAGAAATTTGTAGATATTATGAAAGATATTTTAAGCAACAAACTGTTTATGTAAATGCGTTAGAAATTTGGCCTTTAGATACGAGTACTGAAACTATCCAGCTAATAAGACTCTTCACTCTAGACTTACTCTTCAGGCGATAATTAGTTATTGGAAAATAGTTTAAAAATAAGTTTATCTGGAGCTATAATTTTTATATGTTGTCTTATTTCCGCATTGAAAAAAAGTGAACTTAAAGCATTAAAAAGTTTGGAAATTGGGATTAACATGAAATAGTGCCTCCAAACAGATCTTTAAAAAAAATTGATGATTGGTACATAAAAAGTAACGTTCAAAATTGTGCTCAGTATTACGGGAGGATATAGTATACAAATTTCTCCTAAGAACAATAAAAATAAGATAATAGATAAGATGGAGAATATTTATTTTCTGACCTTTTTTAGTGTTAAAAAATTGTAGTCTTTCTTAGAATTTGTTTATTTTTGACAGCACATCTTAGTTATATATTCGTTATTTTCATATATTTTTCCAGTAGTAATGCGTGTGTTATATATATATATGTATCAAAGGCGAGGCGTCGAATGGTTCAGAGTGTTCACTGAACACCTTAACAAAGCTTCCTTTTTAGATCTTTTTTTATTAGGTAAATAATCTCGCTATTTTGCTACTTAAAATTTTTTATAATAGCTTTTCCAAACATATAAACATAAACACAAAACGTATAATACAAACAAAACCACACATACATATGTTAGTTACACCCAACATTATAATTAATAAAAGATAAAATACATTCCTCTTAAAATATACTAAGGTTCAGAATAAAAACTGCACCGCGATGTTTACAAAGAATGCAAATGAAATAACATTCACATTGGGACTATGTTCAGTATTGAATAAACACAAAACATACAAACAAATATAAAAATAAAAGAGAAAACAAGCCCCGCAAAATATGTACGTAAAATAATCATATGTTAACTCTTAAATTAATGTGTGCAAGCAGTTCAATAAAAAAAGTAAACCTCCAATGTTATGCAAAGTAAATACAAAAGAGAAAAGAAATGACTGAGCGAAAATCGCTTTACATTTGACTAGAGGTTCATTCGACTAAACTGAACCATAAGTTCATACAAAGCGTCCAAATACAATCAAAGTCACGGTTGCTGTTTTATATGAGCAAATGGTTCAGTAAAAAAACTGAAACGCGCATAGTAAATACAAAGTAAAAGAGAAAATGAATGCACGAGAGTTTCTTACTCTTATGTAGAGGTTGGAAATAAACCAAAAACAAAGTCATTATTGCAATTTTATACTAGCAAATGGTAAAAGTAAAGAAAAAATTAAAAACATTTAAAGTGAAAAATAATATTTAGAAATGGATAAATGTGTGATTAAAGATTTGATTCAAATATCATTTTTTAAACGATCTTCTGAAAAAAAGGTTTTAATTCGTTTTTCTACAGCTATTTACCATAAAAACCAGTGGATCACAGGCTGCGAACATTTAAATAAATTGTTTTGTTGGTCTTTTACGCCATTTGCTTGTAGAAAGGACAAAACTTAGAAGTAGAGGGAATACGTTATAGTTGGAATTCAGTTTTGATCAAATTGTGAACACCTTGCCAAAAAGCTGATGCCTCGCTACTGATATTTATATATAGTGTTTATTGCACTTATTATGCTCGAACTATGGGTATATATACGCTAAAAATCATTTCACTTGAAATGTATTTTCATTTAATTTTTTTTTTTTTATACTAACATCTTAGATAATATATTGTGGATTACAGTTGAGAACTTATACTTGACATTTTTGTATGCAACTTCTATAATACTTTTTCCTTTTAGTTACCAAAATGTTAAAATGTACAAACCATATCCTAAGTGAGTAAATAAATTTTTAAAATTGTCTATTTATAAACTTAGTCAAAATAATCTCATATAAAGAAGAAGATTCTTATTTACTTCATGTGTCCCACATTTTTTTTACTCTACACTAAATAAAAACTTATCTTTCACATTCAAAGATATTTTGAATAAACATTTTGCTCGATAGCAATTATTTGAGTTATCTGATAATGTAGAATATATACCAAAAATTATCGACAAATCGACTTGAAGTACATTTCGGAATTGCTAGCGACCAAATTTGTTTTGTTCAGAAATATTTGGGTAGTGTACACTGCTCACACATATTTGCGGAGAACCATTATTTGAAGAATGTCATTTGCACAAATGCATGTCCTTCAGCACATTTGCATTTTGCTGCATTGCACATTCGTGCGCTTTTATGCGTGTGTGCTTGGTGCTTTGTGCTGGCGTTGCCTGCATTCTGCATCTCAATGGATGCCCCACTCTGTTTGAAATGTTGATTTAGCTTTTATGTGCATTTTTCTTTCATACGAGCTGCGCATTTAAAACATATTTTTGGGTATGGCTTAAAGGATTTTGCTTAAAGTTTTTGTTGGGAATTGCACATATCAGATAGATTTTTGGATATGACGTTTGCAGCACGAGCACATCATAGCTGCAAAATTTTAATGGCAAAATTGAAAAAATTTTCAAAATTTGTAAAATTTTTTTATGCACTACATATAAATAGTGCCAGCAGTTGTTTACTGAGTTATTGAATGGTCAGCATATGGTTTTTAAATATAATATAATAAAGTACATTCAATTATAAAAAAAATACTGCGTTATGTTGGAACCGAATTATGAGCATACAGTTCATCAATTGATATCATTATGCGGCCCTATGCTCCGCTAGGAGAAGTGGAGACTAAGAAAACTAAAAATCATTAAGTACGTTCTATAGATTTATGCGTAAGGATAGAAAACTGTGAAATCAGGCCTATTTTCACTCTAAAAAGCAATTATTTCGAATAGCTAAATAGGAAGGATGTAAAGCACTCCCAGATTACCAACAAATCTTTGAATTGTGCCATGGAGTAAAAATGGCATATCATGAAGCTAAGCGTCACCCCAATGGCACAAGGTATTGGTAGCTTATTACTTTAACTTTTAATAATTTTCTTTATTTTCGCCTTCAAAGTACTCTCCTCCTGCGGCAATACATGCATGCCAATGCTTGATCCAATTTTCCATACAAGTTTTATAGGCTGCCGAAGGTATGGCCTTTAGTTCACGTAGCGAATTCTCTTTTGAGTCGGGGGAGAGGAAAAAGTCATACGGAGCCATATCTGGAGAGTACGGTGCTTAGTTGATGATATTGGTGGAGTTTTCGGCCAAAAACTGCAACACAACCAACGCTGTGTGAGCCGGTAAGTTATCGTGGTGTAAAATCCATGAATTTTCCTTCCATAAATCTGGCTTTTTTTTGCGAATGGCCTCACGCAAACGACGCATAGTGGCCAAATAGTACTCCTTATTGTCCGTTTGACCATTTGACCGTCCGGAAGGAGTTCATAGTGCACCACACCACGAATATCAAATATCGAAGAAAACAGCATAATCTTGACGTTCACTTTTCGGTTCTATAAATGAGATCCTAGAATAAATATCTTCTATATATATATATATATATATATATATATATATATTTGTGGTATTAATGTGTGACCATAGTTTAATGTACTTCACATAATTTTACAGAAAATTTAATTGTGCGAGTGAAATTATATACAAGGCGTGAGTAAATTTGGTACAAAAATTATCAATGAAATCTAAGGACATTCTTGAATGAAATAAAATATTTGCAAAAATGTGAATAACCTTCAATAGAACATAAATACTAAGAAAATAATTTTATTTAAATAGAATTTTAAATAATAAATTTAGTTCGAATTTGAGTTAAGATTCAACGTATGAAGAGTTGTACGAACTTTGTTATATTAGTCATGACATGAGTCAGTCATGACTTAGTAAAGCATAAGTAAAAGTCCATAATAAAATAAATTCGATTCAAAAACGGGAGGAAATAAATTTCTTGATGAAAACAACATTAGGATAATTAATAAAGAATTTTGGAATATGTACTTTATTAAGTACAGTAAGTAGACATGTGTAGCTTCCAGAATATAGAATCGATACCCAATATAACTATCGTTACTCAGTCTCTATGATTTATTGAATATACATATATGTTAACCAAACTGATAGCGCCATTATATAAAAAT